TTGAGGATTAGAAAATATAAGAAAAAATGAAAGCTGAAGAACTCTGAATTGTGCCTTAAAATTTTGGTTTTATTATGGGATGCTCTGGGGGATCTCTTAAACAGTTAAATCAATGGATAAAAAGATAAAAAACTTAGCATAACCGACTATGTTCAAAGTAATACTAGCAATTTAAGATTAACATTTATATAAGCTACTGTTATGATCTCCTATATTTGGGTTTTTAGTTAGTAGTGGTTTTCTTTCCTTTCTCCCTAGATGTAGTTACCATTTCCCAATTTTTCATAGTAGTTTGTAGTCTATTAAAAATGCAATTAAAAAATCCCCCCTGGAGGGCCTAAAAAAAAAAAAGACGTTTCACAATGACTGAAAGAGGCAGCATGTAATAGAATAGCAAACTTATAAGTAGTAAAGGTCCTGAATACTGAAGTAATCTTGTTAGTTTTGCCATACACCACCACTATTCTTTTGCTAAACAGACAATGTTAAACTGAAACTCTGAATAAATGGCCCTCATAGTTTGGAATATTAGTTCATTATCCTATTTTAGTAGCTTCTCTATAGCTTCAAAACGCTTTATAACAATCAGATGTCCAATATATTGGTTCATTGTGGTTAAGAGATTGATCTGAGTCAGATTGAGGTGACGAGAGAGGAGCTCCTAAAACTGATAGACAACTCAAAAACTGATAAATCACCAGGCCCAAATGGCATACATCGGAGAGTTCTGAAAGAACTCAAATGTGAACTTGTGGATCTCCTGACAAAAATATGTAATCTTTCCTTAAAATCTGCCTCCATTCCTGAGGACTGGAAGGTAGCAAATGTCACTCCCATCTTTAAAAAGGGTTCCAGAGGAGATCCGGGAAATTACAGGCCAGTCAGTCTGACGTCGATACCGGGTAAATTGGTGGAAACCATTATTAAGGAAAGAATTAGTAGGCACATAGATGAACAAAACCTATTGAGGCAGACTCAGCATGGGTTCTGTAAAGGAAGATCTTGTCTCACTAACCTGTTAATGTTCTTTGAGGGGGTGAACAAACATGTGGACAAGGGGGATCCAATAGATATTGTTTACCTTGACTTCCAGAAAGCTTTTGATAAAGTTCCTCATCAAAGGCTCCTAAGTAAGCGCAAAAATCATGGGATAAAAGGACAAGTCCTTTTATGGATCAAAAACTGGCTAATTAATAGAAAACAGAGAGTGAGTATAAATGGGCAATTCTCTCAGTGGAGGGTGGTAAGCAGTGGGGCAGGGATCAGTACTTGGTCCAATGCTTTTTAACTTGTTCATTAATGATTTAGAGTTGGGAGTAAGCAGTGAAGTGGCTAAATTTGCAGATGATACGATTGGGCGAGTGGGCGTCAACATGGCAAATGGGGTTCAATGTGGCCAAGTGCAAGGTGATGCACATTGGAGCCAAAAATCCTAACTATAAATACACGTTGATGGGGTCTGAACTGGCAGAGACTGATCAAGAGAGAGATCTTGGAGTTGTAGTAGATAACTCACTGAAAATGTCGAGACAGTGTGTGACTGCAATAAAGAAGGCCAATGCTATGCTGGGGATTATTAGGAAGGGTATTGTAAACAGATCAGCCAATATCATAATGCCGCTATATAAATCAATGGTGCGACCTCATTTGGAATACTGTGTGCAGTTCTGGTCACCACACCTTAAAAAGGATATTATAGCTTTGGAAAAAGTGCAGAAAAGGGCAACTCGAATGATAAAAGGGTTGGAACACTTTCCCTATGAGGAAAGGTTAAGGCGCTTAGGGCTCTTTAGCTTGGAGAAACGACGACTGAGGGGTGACATGATTGAGGTTTATAAGATTATGCATGGGAAAGAGCAGGTAGAGAAAGAGGTACTTTTCTCCCTTTCTCACAATACAAGAACTCGTGGGCACTCCATGAAATTGCTGAGTGGTCGGGTTAGAACGGATAAAAGGAAGTACTTCTTAACCCAAAGAGTGATTAACACATGGAATTCACTGCCACAGGAAGTGGTGGCGGCTACAAGCATGAACGGCTTCAGAAGGGAATTAGATAAGCATATGGAGCAGCAGTCCATCAGTGGCTATTAGCCACATGGTATAGATAGGGGCTCTGGGGCAAGTGATGCTCTGTCATCTTGGTGCTTGGGGGGGATCAACAGTGGGAGGGCTTCTAATGTCCTGGCCCCACTGGTGGACCTCTTGATGACACTGGTATTTCTGGCCACTGTGTGATACAGAGTGTTGGACTGGATGGGCCTTTGGCCTGATCCAACATTTGGCATCTCTTATGTTCTTATGTTCTTATGATAGAGGGGTAACTGGAACTAAATTGATTACAATATCTGACCAAATCTGATATTTGTTAATGGTGGGAGGAAATACTGACCCGATATTAATGTTTTAGTATGAATCACTTTTCTGGTGGACTTTCTGAGATATAGTTAGATTGGTTTTACAGACTGTGGTCAAGAATATGGCTATCTGCTTCTATACAAGTTATCAGGAACTCATGTAACTGGTGAATAAGAGTATGAGCTATGAATTGGCAAATCCCACTCTAAATAATAAAAAATAGAGACAACCCTTCCAACAAAAGTCCGTATGGTCAAAGCAATGGTATTCCCAGTAGTAATGTATGGCTTTGAGAGTTGGACCATAAGAAAGGCCGTGCACCGAAGAATAGATGCTTTCAAATTATGGTGCTGGAGAAGACTCTTGAGAGTCCCTTGGACTGCAAGGAGATCAGATCAGTCAATCCTAAAGGAAACTAACCCTGACTTTTCCCTGGAAAGCCAGATACTGAAGCTGAAGCTCAAATACTTTGACCAACAAATGAGAAGGGAG